TAATATAGTGTAGGACCATACCTATATAAGGCATATTTATACTTTTTGTTTTTCAAAATACCAAACAGATCATGCATTTTAGCCATGCCTCATTTTGCTCAATTTGACATTTTTTAGCTGTTTTAGCAAGGGCTGATTCAGTGAGAACAGCACCATCTACTGGCCTGGCATATGTACTACAGCGTCTCCAGCGCTTTCGAACGGCAATGGCCGTGGCTGTCTCCTCCTGATTGGTGGAGTTGGCCCAATAGCCGTAGCGCCACCGTCCTGACGTCAGGGCAGTGTTCAAATCTGGATCAGTTTTTATCAGATCCGTTGCAGCCCCTTTTTTAGAGATTTGGGTATGGAGGAAAATAGAGAGGGTTGTGTTTTCTGACACTTGGTGAGTTCCCTGGAACACCGGGGACACATATTCATGTATAAAAGACGTACAAAAGTGCATTTTGCATGATAGGTCCCCTTTAAGTATCCTTGAGCAAGATACCTAACCCCAATTGCTCCGTTAGGCAGGTCTACAGTATTTTATGTATTTGTTACAAAAATGACTTAGTTCCCACTTGACAGTTAACGGAAAGAAACAAAACAAAAAAACACCAAAACGTCACATGTACAAGGAAAAGTACAACACCCTCATCTGAGTCCTACTTAAAGTGGATAAAAGGGTCTAAATGCAATGAACATGTGTGCAGTGTGTGTGTTAGAGTACACACACTACATACCAGAGAGACCCACACACACAATTGAGAGAAATGAAAAGGACAATCATGGTGATTCATCCACTTATTCACATCATTTAGTGTGATTGGTCAGTTCGTGAGAATATGTCAGCCGGCGGGGCATGTCGCGCTGAATTCCTTATTTTTCTTTTTCTACCCAACTGACCTTTGTGACACACACACACACACTCCTCTAATGTTAGCCAATGAATTACGGTAGTCTAGGCCAACACTTGACTCATGTATTCACAGCATTGCTACGAGCCCAAGGGAAGGGAATGACACACACACACACACACACACACACACACACACACACACACACACACACACACACACACACACACACACACACACACACACACACACACACACACACACACACACACACACACACACACACACACACACACACACACACACACACACACACACACACACACACACACACACACACACAATTCTAATGTGACTCTTGAGTCATGTATTCAGACAGAGGAGGAGGTCTGGCCAAAAGGCTAGCTCGCCCTGGGGAGTCATTATCACGCTCTCTCTCTCTCTCTCTCTCTCTCTCTCTCTTTTTGTGGAGCTTTTTCAGCCATAAACTGAAATGTAAAGCAAACAAAAGAGAACATTGGAACAAGAGTGAAGCAGGATTTTCAAGCGTTCCCCATGAATAAATGCTCGCAATGTTTCAAACATCTAGCTCTTTTCTTCCTTCAAGAAACTCAGTTATACATTTAACTCCTTCAGTGGGAGGAAACCGTTTCTTAGCAATATTTCTCTTTGACATCAGGTTCATTTCATTGTAATTAAACAAGCCATTAAAAGGGGACCTATCATGCAAAATGCACTTTTAAGTATGTGTCCCCGGTGTGTCAGGGAACTCACGCAGCGTCAGAAAATAAAACCCTCTCTTTTCCTCCGTACCCAAATCTCTAAAAACGGGGCTACAACGGAGCTGATCCAGATTTGCGTCCGATATGACGTAATATCTGAAATGTGGACCCACGGCCCTATCAGAAACGTTGCTATCAGAAACAATGCCCGACTGTTTTGGACGTAATATGGTCGGTGTTTACATTAGCATCGCTAACACTCAGAGCTAACCTGTACTGGAGAGCATGTGTGTGAAGAAGCAGGAAATAAAAAGGAACTCACCTTGTGGTATAACCGGCAAGAGAGAAAGCCTTTGAGCTCCATACTGTTTCAGAAAGAATCCTTGATAATCCATGATATGGCGTTTCATCACGGCAGTATTTAGTTTAGACAGTAGCTGCCGGGTCCCGCATGAGCTCAGCCCCCTCCTGTTTTATTTTGTATCAATTCTTTTTTTTTTTAAAGCTTTATACCCAAATCAGCACTTTTGAAACAGGAAGTGAAATAGAGGGATATGAGGCATGGCTAGAATGGGTGATCTGTTTGGTATTTTGAGCAAAACACTTCATAGACATGTTTTTTATATATTTGTATATATCTGAGACCTATGCTATTGCCTAAAAACAGCATGATAGGTGCACTTTAATATTCACAGTCACATCGAGAATTACCGAGCTGTCGCGTTGCTACCAATCTGTTTCATTATTGTTGTTTTTTTATGTGTTTGACTTGACAGTTTTTGAGGCAAATAACAGATGACCGGTGACAGGGTTTCAGGATATTGGCGGAAGCAATTTATTTTGGACTTGTTGTGCTTTCGCTTGTTAAATAAAGCCGGCTCTTAGAGTAATTTGACGTGTTAGTGACAGTTTGAGAGCGTGTGAATAGATTCTGCATAACAGCTGTCAGCTCCCACAAGGGTTCATAATTGTTTTGGTGTTACCATTGTTTAGACTTGTTTTAAGCTTCAAAGGAATTCACAAATTACTTTACCTGCAAGTGACAACTTCTAAGAATAGATTTCCTTGAGGTGTTGCTTTTCTTTTCTTAATAAAAAGTGTTGTCCAACTCTATTTCGAAGAAAACCGCCCTCATTAAAAGAGTTTCCTTGTTGGTTTCAAGTTACTTTAAAGCCTAAATGACTTTGTGTAATATGAAGCATTTAAGCAATATCATCCTCACGTAATTACATCTTCTCGTCTCTGGTTTTTGTGTTTGATTTCACTTCAATCCTTTGAGGTAATTTTTGTTTCTTTCGTATGATGAGAGAGGCAGGTGCCAACTCGTCTATTCAGCCTATTTTTAATACACTTTAAATAGTTTAAGAGATTTTTTATTAGATTTACATTTGCCAGATTTACATGTAATTACATCTTCTCGTCTCTGGATTTTGGGTTAGATTTCACTTCAAACCTTTGAGGTAATTTCAGTTTAGTCCCACAAATGTTGCCTCCTTGTAGTGGCAAAGACGAAACATCTTTAAGGCTTATACAGACAAATGATAGACAAGCATTGAACACACACACACACACACACACACTTATGCACATCAATCATAAGACTCAAGGATAATTAGCCAGATGATGAGCCGGTGTGGGATTAACTGTCCACACTTTCCTTTTGGGCGCTCATGTGGTCAACAGGTGCAAATGAGCCCTGAGGGGATTTTCTCATCTACTGATCTATTGAATATTAAACACACACACATTTTGTAAGCACTAACTTTCTTTGATAAGGCAAAGAAAGATCAGCAAGAAGCAATTATAACAAAAGAACATCTGAAGAATATAGGCCCTGAAAAATCAAACAGTGACAGCTAGAAAAACTAATTTGTTTGTGTTGTAAAAGGGATGTGTGCAAACAATCACTTACTGACAGCTTCGCGCATGTGTTGAATGATTTAAAAACACTGACAGCTTTTGTGCAATTATTCTGAGTTCAGCTGGAGCTGGATTGGCATTGATCGGACGGCTGAGAGACACTCCAGGTTAATGTGGAAAATAACATGGAGGATGTGCAGCTGTGTCCCAAATCTCCTGTCAGCCATGTCAGGGCCGTAATGGAGGTTCATTGGTGAAGCAGCTGTGTGCAAATGAACCATCGATATACTGTTAACTAATAGGCTGGGAAATGAATTATCTGACATATAGGTGCGAGTCAATGAAGTGACATTATTCCCTTAATGAAGTGGAATTAGTTAAACCTGTTTCTAAATGTGTGTCAGTATTTTTTGTTTATTGTATAAATAAGGCTAATAGAAACACTGGGAGAAGGTTGCGGGAGCGTGAGGCATTGAAACGTAACTATATGCATGAAGGTTGTCAAAAAAAACCTTGCCTAATCCAGAATTTGCTCCTACATTTAGTGGATAAAAAACGATTGTATGTGACATAGGTGCGAGTAAATTAAGTGACATTATTCCCTAGGGTAATTAGTTACACCTGTTTCTAAATGTGTATCAGCTTTTGTTTCTTGTCTTTCGTATGATGAGAGAGGCAGATGCCGACTCGTCTATTCAGCCTATTTTTAATACACTTTAAATAGTTTAAGAGATTTTTTTATTAGATTTACATTTCCACAGATTGTTCCGGTCAAAGTCTGGTAAATACCCACTAACGGAAACACTGGAAGAAGGTGGTTATGTGGTAGCGTGAGACATCAAATCATCCTAACTTAACCAAATACATGGTCTGGGTTAAAAGGGACAGACAAACACACTTGTTGGTACTAAAAAGCTAGATACAAGAAGAAGTAACAATTAATGCAGCATGGATGGTAGAGCGCCGATCATCTTTTGTCTTACATTTGGCATCATTAGATTTCATTCATTGCTACAATTACAAATTATTTTTGTCATATGCCTAGGATTTTCATTAAAACTGCATTTAAAAAAAATGTGTATCTAGTTTCTTGGAAGGAGCAAGCAGTTTCTTTCTTGTTTTGGATCATTTTTCTGTGCTCATCTTGCTGTGTTCAACAGATGAAACTGAAACGAATCAGGAAACCACATTTCCCTTTATCATTTATTTGCTCTTCATCAGTTAGATTGTACTTGAAGTGGCTGTAAATAGAGTGATACGGGGACCTGGTGCTGCCTCCCACACTGAATCAGTCTGGGTCTAATTGAATTCAAGCTAATGAGTTTACTGACAGCGTTGTCTGGGTAATTAGTGCAATGTCCTAATCAACACAACAACCATTTAAGAAGTCCGATCTCTAACTGCAGTCAATTAACAACACCCTCTGTAACAGACAGGAGTGAACGATCACAGAACATTTGATGTTGTTTCTGCTGTCAGAGTTACATTCGTCACTGTTATAAAGATGAATGTCTTCGCACGGTAGAAGTTGTACTAAAATGAATGTAATTTGGTTTTAATGTTGTTCTACTTTGATCTCTTTCAGGCTCTGTGATCAGAAGAGAGAAGGAGATTACCAATCGTACGAAGAAGAACAACAACAACAATAACAAGGAAAAGAAAGTCCATATCGTGGAAGCGGGTGATGAGTATCCTCACCAACAGGCTCCTTCTCAGCTAATGAACTAGGAAGACCATCATTTTGTCAGCAGACACAAGATATCACCTCGGTGGGAGCGGCGCTCCACTGAGAGGAAGCAGGAAGTGAAGTGAACGTTGAGATGCTGGCGATGAAGCGGACGGGCCTCGGCTCGCTGAGGGTCTTCCTGCTGTTGGTGGGAATCTCAGCGCTGTGTAGCGTGGCGTTAGGAACCAGGAGAGGAAACACTGCCCTGGACCACAGGGGCCACAGACACAGACATTCAGGTGAGTCAACGGGAATCAGACGGGACTTAAAGGTCACCTATTATGCAAAATCCTCTTCTTCATGTCTCTTCTTCATCAACACGTGTCCCCTCTTCTTCATGTCTCTTCTACATCAACACGTGTCCCCTCTTCTTCATGTCTCTTCTACATCAACACGTGTCCCCTCTTCTTCATGTCTCTTCTACATCAACATGTGTCCCCTCTTCTTCATGTCTCTTCTACATCAACATGTGTCCCCTCTTCTTCATGTCTCTTCTACATCAACACGTGTCCCCTCTTCTTCATGTCTCTTCTACATCAACACGTGTCCCCTCTTCCTCATGTCTCTTCTACATCAACATGTGTCCCCTCTTTTTCATGTCTCTTCTACATCAACATGTGTCCCCTCTTCTTCACGTCTCTTCTACATCAACATGTGTCCCCTCTTCTTCATGTCTCTTCTACATCAACATGTGTCCCCTCTTCTCCATGTCTCTTCTACATCAACATGTGTCCCCTCTTCTTCATGTCTCTTCTACATCAACATGTGTCCCCTCTTCTCCATGTCTCTTCTACATCAACATGTGTCCCCTTTTCTTCATGTCTCTTCTACATCAACATGTGTCCCCTCTTCTCCATGTCTCTTCTACATCAACATGTGTCCCCTCTTCATGTCTCTTCTACATCAACATGTGTCCCCTCTTCTCCATGTCTCTTCTACATCAACATGTGTCCCCTCTTCTTCATGTCTCTTCTACATCAACATGTGTCCCCTCTTCTTCATGTCTCTTCTACATCAACATGTGTCCCTTCTTCTTCATGTCTCTTCTACATCAACATGTGTCCCCTCTGTGAAAAGAGACTCTGAAAGTTTCAGGAAAAAAGATTCTCTCTCTTTTTGTCCTGATCCATTTATATAAAAACCTGTCTGTAAATGAGCTGATCAGATTTTGGCCACTTTATGATGTCATAACGATTTCTTGGCTTGTGTAACCATTAGCCAATCACCAACCAAGGTATATGATATTTGACTCATAAGTGCCATCACCAGAAATCCAAATTATACTTATATAGCGCTTTATCCAGTCTTTCCAGCCCCTCAAAGCACAAGTCATTGACCCTTTCATACCTCATTCATACAGAGCAGTGCCACTTGCTCTAGGAAGCTAACATTCTCACACACTTACACACACACCCACACACTGTTGGGCCATCGGGAGAAACTCAGGGTTCAGTATCTCGCCAAAGGATACATCGATGTTGACCACATGTTTGGGATCGAACCAACAACCTTGGTTGAAAGACGACCACGCTTCCTCTCAGCCACAGTCGCCCTAAACTAACCCTACAAAGCTAACTAAATGCTATTTCATAATTACAGCATGGTCAAATGACTCCCTGTCCCCAGCGCTTAGCTAAAGGCGGCAGCTAATATTCAGTGTAATTTAACCGAATGCTAGCAACTGCTGTTTTAAAATTCAACAGTTGGGTACTTACTCACATATTTTATGCCTCATCTTACCAAAAACATAAAGAAAACACCATTGACTTGGAGACAAAGAACCGGGAAGTGGTGAAATGCTAACAACTGTATGTGTTTCAGAATGAGAATATGTGTTATTACGAAGTAGGTTTACACATACGAGGAATTTGCTTCAGTGATTCCTGCTCCACCTGCTATGTGTCAGATTAGGGATTGTTTTGCATCTGCCTGTATCGAAACACACAGCTTCATACTGTAACTGATGCTTTGTGAGATACATCTTTCACTTGACAAAACACAGATGGTCACACATGCCACTTATTTCCTTTGTATGCATTTCAAAGTGACAGTGATCTCCCTTGTGACCACGAGGCACTTTATACTTCAAAACACCAGCAATCCATATCTGACAATTACAATCCAGCTGTGTTATCATCCATAAGAATTGACGCAAATATTTACTTTAAGTAATGTAAATGTTTATTACCCTTTACATTTGCAGAATGGGAAAGCACTACATTGACATTAAATTGTCAATAATGTGATGCTTACTCTAAAATCCCCCAAAGCAGTTTGCATTATCACATCTTCAGTGTATTTACACTCAGAATGTATGCATCCGGTTTATTGTTGTGTTACCTTTCCTTATATAGCACAGCTTTATAACACACGGCAGCTGCTCTGTGCCGACACAGCTTGAAACTGAAGTGCCTGAAAAAAAAACACTTGTTGCTGTGAGTGCTCTTCACAGAACCCACCCACATTGTCTCCGATGGGATTTAAACTTGTGACCCATAATTTGAAATATTCACAGCAAACAAACGGCAGCTGGGGTTATCATTCCTTTATTCAACATGGATTGGTTCAAACATTTTAGTTTTTAACCATTCATGAACCCAATGAATGTGGTGTAGACTTTCATGTATTGGCTTAAAGGTCCCCTATTATACTGTTTTTCATCAATATATTATAGGTCTCAGATATATCCAGAACCTGTCTCTGATTGGCTGAAACACCAAACAGATCATTGTAGGATCCCATCATCCCCTCTGTTTCAGCCCTGTTTCCAAAGTGCTGATTCTCTGTCTGTTACTTTAGATGAAAATAAGGAGCCCCTCCCCACGCCCCTCTGAGAGATATTTGGTTACAAAGAACACAATGGTGCTCTAGGAGGAGATTCAGGTGATAAGGTGGGGGGGGGGGTTACCTTGGTTGGTGATTGGCTAATGGTTACACAAGACAAAACATCGTTATGACATCATAAAGTGGCCAAAATCTGATCAGCTCATTTTCAGACAGGTTTTTATAAAAATGGATCAGGACAAAAAGAGAGAGAATCTTTTTTCCTGAAACGTTCAGAGTCTCTTTACACAGAGGGGACACATGTTGATGTAGAAGAGACATGAAGAAGAGGGGACACATGTTGATGTAGAAGAGACATGAAGAAGAGGGGACACATGTTGATGTAGAAGAGACATGAAGAAGAGGGGACACATGTTGATGTAGAAGAGACATGAAGAAGAGGGGACACATGTTGATGTAGAAGAGACATGAAGAAGAGGGGACACATGTTGATGTAGAAGAGACATGGAGAAGAGGGGACACATGTTGATGTAGAAGAGACATGAAGAAGAGGGGACACATGTTGATGTAGAAGAGACATGAAGAAGAGGGGACACATGTTGATGTAGAAGAGACATGAAGAAGAGGGGACACATGTTGATGTAGAAGAGACATGAAGAAGAGGGGACACATGTTGATGTAGAAGATACATGAAGAAGAGGGGACACATGTTGATGTAGAAGAGACATGAAGAAGAGGGGACACATGTTGATGTAGAAGAGATATGAAGAAGTGGATTTTGCATAATAGGTGACCTTTAAATGTGTTGACAACAGATGTATTGATGCATGTTTTTGTGCTTGTAGGTCACTCGTCACTGCACACACACAGACAGAGGACAGGGAAGGAGGGGCAGGTTCTGCACCGGTCCAAACGAGGATGGGTCTGGAACCAGTTCTTCGTCATTGAGGAATACACTGGGCCTGACCCGGTGCTGGTGGGCAGAGTGAGTACCAAAAAGCGAGTTAATGAAGTGGTCTTTCATCCATTTCTCTTCTCTGGTGGAGAAAGGTCAAAGATGGGTGTATGATAACAGTAAAACAGGAAAATGTGTTGTCTGGGGATGCAAAATGATTGAAAGAGAAGGATGAAAGGAATATAAAAAGGTTAGGAAAGTGTCGACAGAACTATAATTTCACGGGAAGACTAGGGGTAGAGGAATGTGAGAATTTGATTAGGGGTCTTGTCAAATATCTGGAACAAACTCCCAGAAACCTGCAGGTCCGCTGCAACTCGGACTACTTTTAAATCCAGGCTGAAGACTTTTCTTTTTGCCGCTGCTTTTAATTGAACTATTCACATCTTAAACTGCACTGCAACTTGTATTCATGTGTTAGTCATGTTTTATTATCTTTGCTTTTTGATATTTCTAATGTGTTTTATGCTCTTAATGTCTTTCATTTCTGTAAAGCACTTTAAATTGCCTTGTGTTGAAAAGTGCTTTATAAATAAACTAGCCTTGCCTTCTCTGGAGTCAAACTGAATACATGCATGAATAACAAATTGGTCTAATAGCCAAATTGCCCTGCGTTTAAAATCATAGTTTTCAGGGTGACAGGCAGGGAGCCAACTCCAGCAGGATTTCAAAGTGCTTCTCCAATTTTGTCCGGAGTAAAAACTATTTCACGTTCACTTTCAAGGTGAAGATGATGTGTGGTTCTCCTCCAGAAACACCACATCACTCAAAGAGAGCATCGGCTTTCATAACAACAACCCACAAATGATGTTTACAATGCATCATATTTCATCCTGTAGGGGTTGTACAAGAGGAACAACACTTTAATTGAAAGTTGAACATTATTCAATTTCCTTTTTCGGATGACAACGTTTTAAATCTCCAAGCTATTAGTGTTTGTGGTCCGTCTCAGCCTTTCCACTACAGACTTGAGGAATAGACGTCTCGTGTCACAGCTGTGATGGAAATTCATTTTGAGCAATAGTACTGGAAAACTTTGGAAGCTCGAACTTACAATAAGATCAAGGAAACATTGTTGCTGATATCTCCTTATCTGCATATTTAGCTGACTCTTAGGCTGGCCATAAATATATCTACCTGTAACCAAAACATGTCTTTACTATAGTATATACTAAAAATCTGAGACAACAACTAAGGATTAAGATGGACGTCACAGATGTAGCTTGTTTAATAATAATAATAATAATAATAATAATAATAATAGATGACATTTGTATAGCGCCTTTCAAGGGACCCAAGGCTGCTTTACATGGTGAACAAACAGATTAACAAAAGGAGCAAATAATAAAATACAAATTAAATGAATAGCAGTAGAAGTGGAAGCATTGGGACTCTGATGTCAAACATAAGATCTGATGATCAAGGTCTGATGATTCTGGTCTCTTTGACATGAGACCAGAATCATCAGACCTGTCTTTCACTTCAACTTTAACACCATCCAAAATCCAATTGTTATCAGCACCAAAGCTGCCTTTTATCCATTCAGTTTCTTTATTTTCATTGTGTCTCACTGTTAGGAAAATATCACTGGTCACCGGCTTGAGCTTCAATCTCAGGATCCATGTGTTTCTGATCCTCTCCAGAATGGAAGTAGTCATCACATACAGAGCATCAACTAGTTCCTGAACAGTGTCCTTCACATGCTGATATCCAAGAGAGGGAGTTACACAGTCACAAGATGGAGGAATAGAAAGCAGTATTCAATGTTTACTTCAGATTAGCTCCACGTCAGAAATGAGCATGCTTGTCATATGTCTATCTCCATAGAGGCTGAATCATCATGTTAATCACATAGCTATCATATGCCTAAAACAGTCCTGATGCTCTTCTAGGTAATCATACATCCTGTCATGTACACAGCTACAGTTGGGATACCTTTGTTATCATGTTACTCTGATATTGGAAGAGGGCATTCAGTATTTTCCCAACACTCACCCTCTTCCTCCCCCCTGTTGCAGCTCCACTCAGACGTAGACTCCGGCGTTGGCAGAATAAAGTACATCCTGTCGGGCGAAGGTGCGGGAACGATCTTTGTTATCGACGACAAGACGGGAAACATCCACGCCACGAAGACGTTGGACCGCGAGGAGCAGGCTCAGTACACGCTCACAGCGCAGGCGGTGAACCGAGACACCAACAAACCTCTGGAGCCGCCCTCAGAGTTCATCGTGAAGGTCCAGGACATCAACGATAACCCTCCAGAGTTTCTACACGGGCCGTACTATGCCAGGGTGCCTGAGATGTCCAATGTTGGTGAGTAGTAGAAATATTTATTTTATTTTTCAAATTGATTTATTTTAACCTATTTTAATTTCTTGTCAGTTTTACTTTTATCTTGTTCTGTATTTATTTTGATTTTGTCGTTATGTTTTCTTCTTGTTCTTTAAAGCACTTATAGCAAAGGTGCTATACAAATAACGTTTATTATTATTATTATTATTAAATAAAGGGTGAGGGGACAGGACGAGAGTGGGGGAATGCTTCGATTTAAAGAATTTAAAATGTGACAACAGAAAGATTGCAATTTGGTCAAATGCTAAAATGGGCAATAATAAATACATTGACTTTCTGCAAATAATATAATTTGTTGCCAATCCTTTTGTTCTTATACTTAAGTAAGACTTTTGAATGCAGGACTTTTAATTGTAAAGAATATTTTTACAATTTGTAGTATGGCTACTTTTACCTAATAAATTAATTCTGAGTACTTATTCCAAAACTGAGTCTATATGCATCTCAGCTAAGTATTTTAACATACTGAATTATAATCTAATAATGTAAATTGTACACTTTTGTTCAATAAATAAGAAGTTTGGTTTTAATCTGAGTGCTCATTTTCAACTTTTAATTTGAGAAATTCAGTCCTTCAAAAAATATTGTTAACAGTTTTGTCCTGGATGATTATTAGTGCTCCATTTTGTTTGATGTAACTAAGCCCTGGTTTGAGTGAGAGCTTATCTTTAGAGCTGACCCTCAAACTTGTTTGCTGTCCAAATATGAAATATAATTTGACAACAGCAGCAGTTCAGAAGAGATACTCAATAGCACAGAAAGTCTATCCGTTGAACATTGAGTGATGTTTCCTAATGAAGTCACCGATGGAGTGCATTGTCAGTGTTGTTTGTCTGCTAAACAGCTCTTTTCATACATTATTAATTATCCCTGAAATCCGACCACAGGAAGTGTGACGGAGGGAAAACAGACCGAACCATTAGCTGACAACAAGCTTCTAAAAAGCCTTTTCTTTTCTTATGCACAAAAAGTAGTAGCAGAGAAAACATTTAGCATTAGATCGGCATGGATGAGACCTCCTGCCATTTCCTCCGAGTCTCCTTACTTACAGCTTCTGATCTTTATAGATTTTCTTTCAAAATAGGATGTGGTCAGGGAGAGTCTCAACCCCTCTGGGCTGACCTGGAATGAACCACACTGGCAGAAACTCTGCGAGCCAGATACATCCCTTCATTGAATGGGCCGGTCTGAAAGGACTTCTGAAAGGACTTGTGAATAAGTTCTGTTCAGGCTGTTTTTTTCCAACCATCTGCTTCCCGAGTTGAATCCTGAATGCAGAAAGTCTGGTTTCCATCATCCACAACCACAGAAGTGGAACAGAAAAGCTGTAATTTGACTAACTAGGTCCATGTTCCCTCATGGATGTCAGAATTAGAGCAAATACAGAAGGCAGTCTCTTTCAAATTGTTGGTGAATTACCCGGTACACTTTAGGTAGCTGCCACATTGAAGAAAACTTGATTACAGTTATATACCCAATGGATTTTTGTTTGAGTAGAAAAGTGGTGCTCAACTGGAAACATCAAAACAGTTTATGAAACTGCAAAAAGATTGTAAAGAAGCTTAAGCAGCAGAAAACACACTGTTATCGATATGAAGCACCCAAAGGGCCCGGAAAATATCAGCCCGTTGCAAAGAGTCAGCAGTTTAGTCCAACTTGTGCCACCTAAAGGCAAGCAATGTAACAGCTTTTAAAACCGTTGGCATGTTGATGTATCTCAAATCAGGGAAGCAAAAGTGTTCAACTACTCAATGAGCTCATTGCAATTACTTTGGCTGATGTCTTAGCTCATTTCTAACCTAAGCTTGGACAAGAAAGGCAAAACAACTTAAAGTCTGACCAAGTGCTGTCTTTATAAGTCTCATGGTTGTGTGCCTAAAAGTTATATATGATTAGAAAGATATTGAAGCATGAATACATGTAAGAAATCTTCAAAAGTTGACATGGTGATGGTCAGGATTAGCTTTTGATTGTTATACTGCAACAATTTTGTCATTGTAAGATTGTTTTTATGTGGTACAGAATAAAATGTAACCCCATAATAAAAGTCATACATCTCAAGGTATAAAGTGCAGTTGGTATTACTTTTATTTCGAGTATGTTTTATGAGTCGTGTCACATCTGCTTAAGGGAATTTCAACAATAACGCAACATTTTTCAAACCTCTGCACATCTGATTTATTTGGCTTATCGCCTCAGCTTAATGGGTTTTTATAAATCAAGGTGGGGGTTGTAGAACTCTGTCACCACATGCTGAAAATATAATGTTTTATTTAAAAGTTGAAATTCGTCTGAACTGGCATGATGAAACGTAGAGAAATAAGGAGTTTGGACCAGCCTCACAGGAGCAGTTCAGCTGAAGTGTCAAGCAGAGGGAAAATGTTTATTTCATTTCCTCTCCTCATGCCGCGGTGAATTGACACTTTGAGACAAGACGCTTTGTCAAACCATTCTTGAACCGAATCACTGAGTCATCCACTGACTCATCTCTCTTTTCCGTGTGTGTGTGTGTGTGTGTGTGTGCAGGTACGTCCGTGATGCAGGTGACGGCGACAGATGCAGACGACCCCACCTACGGGAACAGTGCCAGGCTGGTTTACAGCATTCTGCAAGGACAGCCGTACTTCTCTGTGGAGCCGCAGACAGGTGAGGCTGCAAACCTGTCATTGGTTTACACACAACTACAAACACACACAAATGCAGCATCCCATGCTCTGTCTCAATATGCATACTTCTTGACTTTAATGCAAAGTATGGCTAAATGCACTAGAAGTCCAGATGGTGCAATCATAACGTTCAAAAAGTTGGAACGCTGGAACCATTGACCGACATCTTGGCTACGTAACCATCCGCAATTCACAAAGTTGAAACGCTGGACACTTTTGCACCCCAACGACCGCCATCTTGGCCACGTAACAGAAGTAATATGACCATCCATAAGGCTGGGAACTCAAACCTGCCATTGGTTTACACACAACTACACAACAACAATTGTTACATCATGTAAATAAAATAAGATAAGTACTTTATTGATCCCAATTTGGGAAATGTTGGCGTTGCAGCAGCATAAGACCCGTGCTCTGTCTCCATATGCATACTTTAATGCAAAGTATGGCTAAATGCACTATAAGTCCAGATGGTGCAATCACAACGTTCAAAAAGTTGGAACACTGGAACCATTGACCGACATCTTGGCTACGTAACCATCCGCAATGTTGTTAGCTTGAGTAGACGCAGCGATATGCAAATAGAAGTTATACATGTGTTCTTTGTTCATTATGGAGGTATTATACCACTAAAACTGGTGTCAAAAAGAAGCCACATTTAATTTGTATAGGGTTATTTAAGCAGTGTGCAATGATTTGCAACTGAAAACACTGAAGCCGAAGTTAGCTAACTAGCTTGGGCTCTTTTTTTGGATAGCAAACAAATCCGGCCCCCCCAAAAAATCAAGGTTGGTCGCCAGAATGTATAGAACTGATCAAATTTGGAATCAAAACTATTGTAAGATATTCCAAATGAAACAATTAAAGGAATGACTGTGTGCAAGCCTTTACAAGATGGGCACTAAGACACTATATTCAAGTTCTTTAAGAAAGATAAATATGATACAGTGCATGATTGTGAACCACAACACTCTAAACAACAAGAATTAACTGCTATGTACATCATCCCCCATGTGGATAATGTTTGTCTCTAAAACCAAATGGAATTCATGTTTCTTTTCTGCACCAAAAAATCTAACATAATCGCTGCTGCGGGGATCATGTAGCAGCACTCTGCAGTGAGAAGAGGTCCCCAGAGGACATTCTGCAGAGCCCGGGACTAATATTTTGGGTTTGCAGAAAATAAATTGGATGTAAGAAGAAGAAGAAGAAGAAGAGAGGCAAGGACAGAGAGACTTGGAGCTGCGATGGGCGAGGGAGAACAGGAAGTGAGAGGTTAGGGTGGCGAAGGAGAGAGAAATTGCTTTAGAGAGAGTGCGTTCATGAAGAGAGTGGTTACAGAAGAGGATTTGGACAGGATACATATCTGACTAATCAAACCAGTGTTGGGTATTTGACTGGCTCAAATCCATAGCTCGCATTTCTAATTGGTTTGGAGATTATCAGCTTTGCATGCTGTCACACACACACACACTGACACACACACACACACTGACACACACATTTGGCATAACATGACAGTGGAAAGCCTCAGACACTGCAGCTCGACATGGAGGAAGAAAGAGCGCGATGGAAAGAGAGAAGCGGGTGATGAATTAAACAGAAAGGAAGAATTACCGGGGCTTGAAATGAAGCAAAATAAGACTTCACACAGAACTAGAGTTCTTATTTAAATTGACGATTAAGCGATGTGTTCCTGCAACAACAAATATCTTAGAAATAAATGACACAGACTATTGGGAAAGTAAATCACAATAAATATCATCATTATAATAATAATAATAATAATAATACGTTTATTTAGTAGAGCACCTTTCACAGAAATATAATTCACAAAGTGCTTCACAAGAAAGGAGAAAAGTTAAGATGAAGACCACAGAAACATGAATACAATAACAACATGAGGCAGACATGTAAGGTTAACATAAAAGCACAACACAGACCACGTGGAGTCCTGAAAGGAACAAACATAAGAACAGAACACATCACACACATCTCAAGTAGAAACAAAAGCCAATGTAAAAAGATAGATGGATCATAGCGATGAATAAGGACACATAAAGAAATGTAATGTGAGTATTCACTTGATGTTTAAATATTTCCATCCAGGTATAATTCGCACTGCGCTGCCCAACATGGACCGTGAGGCGCGTCAGGAGTACGATGTGCTGATCCAGGCCAAAGACATGGGGGGTCACATGGGGGGGCTGTCCGGCACCACGGAGGTCAAAATCACCCTGACAGACGTCAACGACAACCCTCCAAAGTTCCCACAGAGTGAGTGAAATACCTTACATCATTAACTGCTCGTGAGTGTGAGTGTGAGTTTATGTTTATGTATATGTGTGAGTGTGAGTGTGAGTGTGTGTGAGTGAGTGAGTGAGTTTAACCCAGAGAAATATGGCGCTAGCTTGCCATATACAGTGGAAGCTTGGGAAGTCACTGTACGAAGCGTACAAGATAAGCACTTATCAATTATTTAGGGTTTATACTGTCCCCCTGCAATGGTGTGTGTTGTGTGTGTGTGTGTGTGTGTGTGTGTGTGTGTGTGTGTGTGTGTGTGTGTGTGTGTGTGTGTGTGTGTGTGTGTGTGTGTGTGTGTGTGTGTGTGTGTGTGTGTGTGTGTGTGTGTGTGTGTGTGTGTGTGTGTGTGTGTGTGTGTGTGTATGTGTGTGTGTGTGTGTGTGCTGGGTTGTAGATTTGATGTTTACAGAGAAAGAAAAAAACAGACATGGAGGGAAATACAATTTGTAATACTTCTTTTAGCTCACATATTTGTTGAAAAATATTGAATTTATTTAGGAACCCCATATCAAATAAGTGGTTTCTGCAGGTATTGCTCCAGGGTATTCTTACCTCTTGTATAAAAGGTAAGAGTAAGGCTTTTCTTTGACTGTTCAAAAAGTATTCCATGATGTTTTCTGATAAAGTTAACAGATGGAGAACTAGTCTGTTTTTTAAGCTACAGCTCATATTAAACTGTGGGAGAGAAAACAAGGATTTTAGCCTTTGCAGACCATTTACATGCACACAAACTTATATAACAGAATAGGAAAGGGAAAACCCAATAAAGCGTAATAGGGCCTCGTCAGTGATTTTGCGTCGCTGTACTTTTTCTAGTCTCCTTCTTTGTCAAACACCCCCTCTCTCTCTGTGTGTCTGCATCACATCCTCCACCACGTCGTGGAGTTCCTTCTTTCTGCTCCTGTCTGTCGTTTTGTTTTCTTGTTGCTCCACGCTCTCCCTCCTGTGGCTTTGAGCAGAGAAACTACTGGCACAGATTCAGCCGAGGAGCTGAAGGAGTGGATGGAGAGAAGAGACGAGGAGAAAGAGAGAGACGAGGGCTCAGGATTTAGCCTGTGGAGAATCTGAAAAGACGAGGGAAGGGAGAGACACGAGCAGAAGCAGCGGATGGAAAAGACTCAGAAAAAGAGAGACTGTCAAAACCATCCTCTTCTGAGTATTCAGTAGTCTGCAATGCAAAGATAACATCTGATTCTCTAGGCCACACAACACATTTGAAGGAGTTACAATTAAGGGAAAAAAGTATTATATCCAGCAGATTGTCTTTGGTATTTATGTACTACATATTCGGAAGTTTCCATACTAAGATGATGTCATTTTAATAGTGCAATGGGTTATCGCATTGCCATAACATTAGTCCTAAATTGTTCCTGTACCAAGATACATATTGTTGGGTTTGGTATTTGAGCCCCTTTAATAATTAATCCTACTTTGACAGGCTCAGACGATGCGATCTCTGAGCACAAATCCTGCAACTACACATATTTATTTGAAACCTCCATCTTTGGTTCCTGTCACATAAGGAGATCTCATCGGGATTTAATATCGTAGAAGATATACCTTTTCTTGTCATCGTGCATTTCTAGGAACATTACATTACATTGCATTTAGCTGACGCTTTTATCCAAAGCGACTTACAATAAGTGCATTCGACCAAGAAGATACAAACTAGAAGAAACCAGAATCATATAAGTACGTCAGGTTTCATAGAGCCAAAACATTTCAAGTGCTACTCAACTAGCTTTAGATAAGCCAGTCCTTTATTAGTATATAAGTGCTTTGTTAGTAATTCTTTGTTAGTAATTGTATTGCTCAAAGTGGAGTCAAAAGAGATGAGTTTTCAGTCTGCCCCGGAAGATGTGTAAGCTTTCTGCTGTCCTGATGTCAATGGGGAGCTCATTCCACCATTTTGGAGCCAGGATAGCAAACCCACGTGTTTTGCTGATGGGAACTTGGGTCCCCCTCGCAGTGCGGGTGCAGCGAGCCGTTTGGCTGATGCAGAGCGGAGTGCACGTGCTGGGGTGTACGGTTTAACCATGTCCTGGATGTAGGAAGGGCCAGATCCATTCACAGCATGGTACACAAGTATCAGTGTCTTGAAGTGGATTCTAGCAGTTACTGGAAGCCAGTGAAGGGAGCGGAGGAGCGGTGTGGTGTGGGAGAATCTAGGAAGGTTGAAGACCAGACGAGCCGCTGCATTCTGGATGAGCTGCAGAGGTCGGATGGCACATGCAGGTAGACCAGCCAGGAGGGAGTTGCAGTAGTCTACAAAAAGTAGGAACAAAACCATTAAGGGGTAGACAGACAACAGCAGGAAGTCAGTTGAGTTTGGACTAAAAAGGACAGTGTATTTCCAATTCAAAACCACTCAGAGCGCCCTTTATTCAGTACAATGATAAAGAGGTGATTGTTGTGAGGATTTGTAAGGATGAAGTTTCTCACCACAGGCTATCCTGCTGTCCCCAATTTCCAAAGTGGATATAAAACATTGTAAAAATAAGATAAAACAGAACAACATGCAGGTTTTATAACCAACCTTATCAAGTGTTTACAAGGTACCCCTTTGCATTCAACCAAACATCCTCTCTGCATCGGTGGCAGTTTGCATCTGTGATACAAGACAACACACGCAGCAATATGGTCTGGAAGCAGGTACATTTGTTTAAAAAAGAAAAAAGGTGGAAGCAGTGCAAACACCTGCAGGAGAGAAGCCTCCCAGATGGTGTGAATGAGGACAGTGATTAGTTATTTAGTAGCTGGGCAGAATGAGAGAGAGAGAGAAAAAGGAAATCAGATAAGCAGAAGAGGCAAAGCAGGCGGTGGAAAAGAAATTCAGATTCAAAGAGAAAACACAATGAAAGAGATACAAACAGATATAAGACACAGCTTGATTCCCTCTCTGCTGCTTTTCACTTTCCATTCAAGCTGTGTTTTTATTTCTTTCACTCCAAGGTTTGATCTCTCTCTCTCTCTCTCTCTCTCTCTCACATATTTTCCGTCCTTGTAATTCTCTCCATTTCACTTCCTTATAAAGCATATTTTGTTTGTCACTCCATAAGCATCCATCACAGCAGACAGGAGGAGGGGCGGAAAATCAGACGGATAACAAGCCATCGTTCCTAAAGTCTCTCTTCAGTCTCTATTAGACCGACATGACAGAGAGGGTTTTGTTAAATATCGTTAATACATGTCAGCCAGCTTTCTTTCCCTCTGGTTGAGCATCGCAGACTAAAAGCAGATTATAAGAGACGTCTGAAGCTCTGAAAGATGATATTTTGGCTGATGTCTGCAGGATTGTACTTTGTATCAGTGTCTTTTAGGATTGCTAACACAGAACGATTCTCATCACCAAAACACAAACACAAATCCATCATTAAAACGTCTGTCACGTGACTTTAGAGTGACTACCGAACAGGAAGGTTATATCCAAACCAGAGAGGAACGATTAATAAATGATAGCCAGAAGTAGAGGTGTAATATTATATGTAATATATAAAAAAAACTAAGAAGACAAACCAAAAAAATAGCAATAGTGTCAACAAATATCCACTTTCTTGATAAAGCCATTACATATTGCCATTCTTCTGAATTAAGCAAAGATGACTTGCTGTTTTTAGCACTTTAATCTAATGTTTAGGTAATATAACTTCATGACAAAGTGCTCTAAGAATAACGTAGCCGTACAAATCATCCTAACTTCTAATAAATAATCAAATCTTTAATCAGAATAATGACAAAGGAATCCGTTTAGTTGACAAAACAAATCTGATTGTGGTGTGTTCTACTGTAAATGTGCTATGTTGGGTGTGGACTTGAATTGAACTTGAAATGAATTAGCAACTCTCTAGTCAACAGCTGTCCCTTAAATACAATCATGAAATAGCTGTGTTATGTTCTCCAAACCATGCAGATGTTATTTACAAAAGAAAACAAGTAGCATACATGCATGACTTGTTTTGTTAAACTGTAGATATATACATTTCCTGTATGACGGGTGCCAGGCTGCATGTGTGTGTCCTGTCATAACGTTTAACTCGGCTGCCGGGAGCCACCGAAGTTAAGCTACTTAGGAAAAGCAAGAATGGAGCGACAGGAGAAGAGATGGAGGAGGAGGAGGAGGAGGAGGAGGAGGAGGAGGAGGAGGAGGAGGAGAGGTGAGGATGAATGGAGGGATTTGGAAAAGGAGGAGAAGCAAATTAAATATGGAGAGGAAGGGAGACAGTGAAGCATATGGAGAGGACAGGGAGGAAGAGGAGGGACGAAGAGGAGGGATGTGGAGGTGGAGGTGGAGGAGATGGATGTCTCCCACTCTCTTTTCCTCTGAAGCCACGTGACCAAATGAAATTTCACGAATCACAGGATTGCAACACCTGGACGGGCAGGATAAACATGCAAGTGGTGTGCGAGCTGTAAAGTGACGAGGCAATACACGCATGAGTTATAGAGGAGGAGGGAGACGGATTTTGGGGGGGGGGGGGGGGGGGGAAGTATAAGGAGGGTGATGGACAGAGTCTGAGGATTTTATGATAAGACGAGACAGATGAAGGGAGGAGAGATGGTTTAAGGGAACATGAAAGATGAGAGGGAGGGGGGAAAAGATAAAAGTGGAGCGAGAGGAGACATATGGTCCGGCTGCTCTCACTCTGCAGCCAGGTGTCCGCTCACCTGACACTATAGGGGGGATTTATATCCGTCGGGCAATAAGAAAATCCTTCGGGCCGTATCAAACAGATGGCAGAGTTCATTTTGATGCCTCGCAGCCCTCTGAAGCTGACCCCGCCTCACATAGTGCACACACAAGAAGACTTTAAGTGGTGTTGAATACAAAAGCAAGCCGTGACGAGTTGATACTGATATCACGAGATGGCAAGAGTACACACTTCCTTTCCTCAAGTAGAAGTACAGATACAGAAGTCGTCAGAAAAATAAGTAGTGGAGTAAAGTACTGATACCAGAAAAATGTACTTAAGTACAGCAACAAAGTATTTGTACTCCACTACTTCCCACCTCTGCTAATAAAGTACATGTTCTGCCTTTTATTTCCCCCTCAGGTGTTTATTCCATGTCGGTGTCAGAGGACAAAGTGCCGGGGGAGGAGGTGGGCCGCCTGAAGGCCAAAGACCCTGACATGGGGGACAACGGGATGGTGAACTACAAACTGATAGACGGAGACGGGATGAACATGTTCGAGATGAGCACCGACTCTGAGACCAGAGAGGCTGTGATCAAACTGAAGAAGGTAAGGAGACACAGACGTGGAGATCAAACGCTGTATTTGATTCTGTTTTCGGCCACATGGGGGAGATTGTTTTTCTCCTCATCCAGAAATCACAGAGCAGCGTTATGATACATTTGGAGTCTTGTTTCTGGTCAAATAAATCACATTTCCCTCTATTTTAGCTCAGTTTTTGGTCCTTCACGAAATATCACTCAGGGGTGTCAAACTCAAATTCATCTCGGGCCACATCAGCATTATGGTTGCACTCAAAGTGCCGGTTGTAACTTTAAGACTATATAAAAATACATATATTTAATATATATAAAATAATGCATTATATTACATTATTGCCTCTGCATTGGATTATTATCAGATAGGGTAATAACTTCATAATTAACTACGTCTGAAAGCAGAAGTCTAGGGCAAATAATTGCAAGTCTCTTCAGTAAGAATTTAAAAAGAAAAGCCAAATTCTGAGAAAAAAGTCAAATGAGAGATGCATTGTGGGACATGTAGTTTATGGGCAACGTGCTTCTGTAAATCGGCATGTAATCGTATAATAAACATATTATATTCTTTCAGAGCTCTTGCGGGGCCACATGAAATGAAGTCGCGGGCCGGATTTGGCCCCCGGGCCTTGAGTTTGACCCCCCTGCTCTAAATGCTTAATGTTCAACTATGTTCAACAGCAGTTAGTTAGTTAGTGAGTGAGTGAGTAAGTTAGGATAGTGACGTTTTACCAGAGATCAAATAAGTAATCAGACTCAGAAATCCTTTACATGTACCGCATTGGGGACATGTTCAGCATTACAGCAGCAAAGGGCCAGTGCACTCATCTAATCAAAATATAAACAAATAAGCAAAAACAAAGTGTAAATTAAGATTCAAATTTCCCTTTAAACAGTTCACAATGAAAATAGTATGCGGCACGGAAAGGGAGAAAGTAGCAGTCGTTGGTTGCCTTTATTCCTCTGGTCATAACAAGTCTTTATATTAAACATTTGATAGGAAGTCACAGTTTCTGGTAAAGATTGCTGGACAAAAGCTAACAGTGGCTACTTCCTGAGTCGCCTACTTTTTCAATTTACCTGCAGATATATACAGAAAAGCAGTTAAGTGAGAGCTTTATATACAACCGACATTTGAGTTAATATGTCTGCTAATGTCATGTGTTAGAAGAAAGAAGGACGTTTGATTCAGTGTGAGAGAGAGTGCATTAACCTCCATGATGCCCTAGGCCAGAAAGCTCATGTCACACACACACACACACACACACACACACACACACACACACACACACACACACACACACACACACACACACACACACACACACACACACACACACACACACACACACACACACACACACACACACACACACACACACACACACACACACACACACACACACACACACACACACACACACACACACACACACACACACACACACACACACACACACACACACACACACACACACACACACCAACTGTAGCTCTCAGTGATCCAGCTCAGCACACACAATTACTTTCTCTCACTCACTCTCTGTCTCTCTAATGCATGCGCACACACAGTCTCTTATTCTTTCATATACACACACACAGTGCTAGGTCAAACACACACACTCTCTATTTTAAACACACACACACACAGTTGTATGTGTAGCTGCGGGTCAGGATTATGAACTGTGGAAGTCATACAGTAAAGAACTATCAAACGTGAGTCGGAAAATAAGGAAATGCGCAACAAACTCCAAAAAAGGCTTCTTTTGTAACCTCTCTTGGATTGTTATCCTAGAAATTAAAAGAAGGAATTTAACGATAGACATCATTTGATCCCGCAGAATCTTAGCGTACCCTTATTTGGCGTGGTAGCATGTAATTACAGTATGTGTTTGATGGCGTTGGTGGTGAGCAGCGTTTCCTGTCCAGACAGCGATGACGTAGCTCCTCAAAGAGCAGCCAGCCTTTCTACTGATGCTGTGGGAAAATGTGTGTCTGAATCAATCGATAGCAGTCCGTTTCATGCCTTTTCTCACAAGCGTCTGCCTGAGTGATTTCTTTGGAGCTCAGTGTGAGAGCGTGGCATTAAGACTGCCGGGGTAAAGGCCTCCCATCAAACCACAGAGTGATAATGAGTAACTCTCCCTCTATTCTCTCAACAAATGCAACGTGTGGGAGCCCTGGAGCAAGGCACTTAACCCACAGACGAGCAGAAAGAGAGGGGGGGGGGGAGGGGGGGGAGTGTGAATAAAAAAACTGAACAAAAGAGTGCCTCCATTACTTGTGTAGGAGGGGGCATCGTGAAGCAGAAACGTGACTAAAGTAGAGATCTGATGAGCAAAGTAAGACGCTCCAATCAAAATGAAGAGAGACACTGATTACACTCAAGTGAAGAGTGTGTGTGTGTGTGTGTGTGTGTGTGTGTGTGTGTGTGTGTGTGTGTGTGTGTGTGTGTATGTGTGTGTGTGTGTGTGTCTTTACTGTGTCCTGTTATCACTCAGGGGAAATCAACCCCTTTTGCCCCCAGAAGGCAGCAACCACACACACACACACACACTAATGTATGAACTCCCACCTAAACACAATTTTGAAGAGTATCAGGAGTAGCCTTCCCTAATCTCTATTCTCTCTCCCTCACACACACACACACACACAGGATGGGCTTTAATCAGCTATTCTCTTTCAACTGTGTCCTGACGAAAGCAGTCCACAGAATATTAAGGAGCCGAGTGTGTGTGTGTGTGTGTGTGTGTGTGTGTGTGTGTGTGTGTGTGTGTTAGCCAGAGAGAGGGAGGCCTTATTGTGAATATTATTATCTCACACTGATTACACAAAGAGGGAGAGAATGACGAGAGAGAGAGAGGGCGTGAGGAAACAGAGATATTGAAAGAACTGGGTCAGAAACATCGTACCTGTCATCGACACGTTAAACGTCCCACACTGAATGAGAGAGGAACGATCCATTGAGAAGAAACGTCCCTGAAGCAGTGAGTTATTTGGCAGCAACATCACACGAAAAAACAGATGAAAGGGCTGAAGCAAAGCAGGTGACATGGGGACGGGCACTAGAGCTCGGCTACGTGGAGAAAATCCAAAAAAACAATATCGTTTGTAAAAACAATATCTCAATGGACTGGTGCAATGTCCAAATAGCATTAAGTGCATTATTTGGTGAAGGTAAAATATGTGAAAAAATATAAATAAAGTTTTGTGGAGATGCAGAGAAGTCCCGCCCCCTACAAACTAAGTACAGACTTAACTCAAATGTAAGTGAAGTTAAGAAAACATCAGACATTTTTTTCCAAACGTATCATTCCCTCTAATATCACAAATCATATCGCAATATTTTGAAAGTGTGTGAGGACCCCAGGAAGAATAGCCAATGCTCATGCTAGTGCTAATGGGGATCAGAAAATGCAGCTCTTGGTGACATCCTAATGACTGCTAACCCCTGCTAAACCTTGTGTGTTTAACTAATACATCCAAAGCTTCTGAGTGATTTTCCAACACTTCACACAGGGCTTATGAGGCCGCACCTCCCACTGGGATTTCAAGTGTTGGTAGCCGCGAGATGAAAAGATCAAACTGACTCCTGGGACTCAACTGGTTCAACATCCAGAATGCTGGCTGGAAACATAGTGATGAGGGGTTTCATCTGGGTTCATAATACAGCAGTGATACCCAAAGTGTGTGTTTTTTTTTAATGTGTCTACAACGGATCTGCTCTTGAAGTCGCAGCCAAGTGCTGTTGGCAATGCAGAAGTGTTCATAATCATCCCTTTGGTATTAAACTGTAGCTGATGCACAATGACTGCCAACTATTGTTGACTTAAAGTGTTTCCTCTGCAGCGAGTAAGATTTAGAGAAAAGAGGAAGATTGATTAGAAGCATGCTTATCGGGTTGAGGGTCATGGAAATGCACCGAAACGTTGGTACTAAAACTTATGTGTCAGTTTGTGGTGTCCAAAAATACTTTTTACCAGAATCAGAAATAGGTAGGTTAACACATACGAGTAATTGTACTTGGTGTTGTGGTGCTTAGATAGAAAAAAGATTGAAAACACAGATAGAAAACTATGATAACATTAAAAAATATTTTAAAAGATAGTACAAAATAGCAATATTGAATATGGTTGTAATCCTAGAAATAGAATAAAATAAAATATGTGCAGTAATAAAAAACAAGATATTGTGTACATTGTGTACATTAATGTAATGCATAGGGTCTATGATGTGACTTAGATTGGAAAAGTGACGTCTTATAGTTGCCAGTAACAAAACTTTTGGGGTCTAAAAGTTGTAAAAAGTCGAATCTGGAGTTATTTTACCTGTACATGTATTTGACGGTGCGGATTAGAGGCGGGGCTTAAGCAAAACGCAAGTATACACGCTCTATTGGACCAGATACATTTGGTATCATGAGTTACGCTAGTTTGGCTTCATGCCACTGAGCAACTCTCATAGGAATGAAAGAGGTCTCCAACGCTGTATCCAGTTCTCTTTATACATCTATAGTCATTGCTCTGTAATTGCTAGGCCACTTTTTTCTGTTATGACTGAATGAAACGGTGACGTGAGTGAAAAGTGTAAGGTTTTCTTTTGGGGCCATTGAGTGTCATGCCTCAAAGCACACACTCAAGTCAATTCAATAGCGAGGCCATCACAAGTCAATGGGTTTTCTCCCAAGTGAATTGGAGCTCCACTCAATACGAGTGAATTGAATCTCAGGGTTGAACGGTGGCCTACCTGTGATATTGAAAAGCAATGCCAAGGGTTTTTTAAATGGTAATGTGTTCTTAATTCACTCGTGTCGATTATAAAAGGGTGTAATAAATAGGAATACAAAACAAGTGGAAGTGCAGTTCTTCTGTCGTGGGAATTAAATCTCCAAACACTCCCTTTTATCCAGTGGGGTCCCAAACTCCCAAACCTAATCGTGACTCTTTAAAAACAGAATTATTTAGTTTCCATCAACAAGAAACAGACAAAGGATTCATTCTGGGTCCAAACTACTCATTTCATATCACGTCATATCAAAGTATTGTGCATTTGGGTTGCTCTTGCTTGTGTCCGTCCGTAGGGATTATGGTAAAAGTTGGACTGCTAAAAAGACATGTTTTCATTCATGTAGCAACAGCTCCCCCTATCAGAGAACAAGGATACAACACTGGTGACTCAATGCTTTTCACAGTGTCTGCAGTGGCTAAACAGTGCTTGAGATCCAGCATTTAGATGACATTACACTGCACAAAGATATGCATGTAGTAGAAACAGCTACTATGAATGGGTTTACATAACAGATACATAATATAGAGTACAGGAAGAGGCAGAAACCCCTATAGTTCCCCTTAAAATAACAATTAAATAACAATTAAATGCACAAAAAATGGAAGTGTGTTTCTGAAATGTATGAGTATGTGTGTGTTTGTGGGTGTGTGCGAGAGGGATATTGGTTTATACACTTTTACTGACTTCTAAGCAATAGTAGTGATAATTATCTCTATACTTGAAATAAAACAAAGCGTGTAATACAACATGGATGGATGGATATCAAATATCAAGAGAAAGAAAGCAACAAAAATCTGATAAATGGTCTTTTAGGCGAAATTATCTTCCAGAAAAAACACATATTAGCGAAATATAGATGAAGTAAATAGTATATTAGCGTGAATAGTTTCTGAAATATGAGATGTGGATGCTGATCGGGTTGCAATCCTAACTAAATGTTTACTGGATGGCCGCCTCCAAACAATATAATTAAACATTGATGAACTTTCTAACTTCCTGATTTAATGACCTCTGTACTTTCTATCTCTCAGCCCGTGGACTTTGAGACGAAGAGGTCTTACACTTTGAAGGTGGAGGGATCCAACCCTCACATCGACCCTCAGTACGTCTCATGGGGGCCGTATAAGGACGAAGCCACAATAAAGGTATGTAAAAATAAAACACGTTTGTATGCATGAGCAGGAGAGCGACTGGATAAATATCACAGGAGTGTTTCAAATGTGTGTTTTGTAGATCTCAGTGGAGGATGCAGATGAGCCTCCTGCGTTCGTAGCTCCCAGTTACACTTTTGAGGTAGAAGAAAACGCGCCTGAAGGCACCTCGGTGGGACGAGTCCACGCAAAAGACACTGATGTTGCCAACAATCCCGTCAGGTAACACACACACACACACACACACACACACACACACACACACACACACACACACACACACACACACACACACACACACACACACACACACACACACACACACACACACACACACACACACACACACACACACACACACACACACACACACACACACACACACACACACACACACACACACACACACACACACACACACACACTTAGTCAGGCTTGTAGCAGTGGGAGCATTTCAATGTTCACTCCACTGTGTATTGGAAAGTTGCCAAAACAACATCCCTTTTAAATAGTGTTCCTTCAGCTACACTGAACAAACAATATGACTCAGAGAAACTTTGCTTTACAACTCGTATTTTTATGCAGATTACATGAAGAGTTTTTCAAACAGAATATGCAAAATAGGATTACAAAGGCAGAGCCTGACACTTTTTATGAAAATCAACAGAAAAACAATCACTGAGTCCAGACTTTTTTGAAACAACAAGACATGCTATACAGAAATTACACTTTGTGTTATTGTATTTGAGTTGAAACCGAATTATCTCCATAATATTGGAAGCTCAATATGTCATGTGTGATAACAGTGTTAAATGTGTGTGTTTTTTCTCCGTTTAGGTACATGATCCCTCTGTACACAGATATAGAGCAGTTCTTCAGCATAAACCCAGAAGACGGCATGATCACCACGAAAAGACCCCTGGACAGAGAGGCACAGGCCTGGCATAACATCTCTGCATCTGCCACAGAGATAGGTACGTGTGCAGAGACAAGATCTAAATATAGAGATATCTTAAAACGGGCCACAAATATGTTCATTTTCAGGTTCATATCAGTATGTAGTGTCTCTACTTTAAAGAGTCCTCTCCTGCTGATGTTCAGGTGTATATCAGTATGTAGTGTCTCTACTTTAAAGAGTCCTCTCCTGCTGATGTTCAGGTGTATATCAGTATGTAGTGTCTCTACTTTAAAGAGTCCTCTCCTGCTGATGTTCAGGTGTATATCAGTATGTAGTGTCTCTACTTTAAAGAGTCTTCTCCTGCTGATGTTCAGGTGTATATCAGTATGTAGTGTCTCTACTTTAAAAAGTCCTCTCCTGCTGATGTTCAGGTGTATATCAGTATGTAGTGTCTCTACTTTAAAGAGTCCTCTCCTGCTGATGTTCAGGTGTATATCAGTATGTAGAGTCTCTACTTTAAAGAGTCCTCTCCTGCTGATGTTCAGGTGTATATCAGTACGTAGTGTCTCTACTTTAAAGAGTCCTCTCCTGCTGATGTTCAGGTGCATATCATATATTTATTTTTCTCATACTGCCTGTGCTGCAGCACCTCTTTTCACCCTCTGTCTGAAACCAGAGCCCAGTCTGCTCTGATTGGTTAGCTGGCCGGCTCTGTTGTGATTGGTCAACCGCATAGAGATGTCCCACCCCTTAGCCTATCACGTACAATGTGTTGGAGCGCTAGCCAATAGAAGGAGTGTGTGGGAGAGAAACTCCCTCTGGCGTGAACTTAGGGATTTTATCCTTGGAGACCATTTACATGCACAAAAAGTGATGTAAACACTACAGGAAAGTGAAAACCCCAGAAGCATGATAGGGATAAGTAAAAAGGGACTCAAGCTGATCTATGTCGGCATGTGGACGTCTCTGTGTTTGTTTCCTATATCTGAGAGAAATTCAAACACACATTTTTGTTCAAAAAGTATGTGGATCGTGACTCTTTATTGTCTCGTCTGGACAGTCACCTGTTAGGTTTAAATGTGAAGTGACACAATGGCGATGAGACTGTCAGTTCTGATTTACTAGAGAAGAGCTAAAGTCAGCCAGAATTTACTCTTGGCTGTCAGAGATTTATGCCGCTGAAACGTTGTACTCTGATATAGGATGAAGAGAAAAAGTCAAAGATGAACAAACAGATGGAAAAATCCCAGACAGCCACCAGACTGTACGTTTTCTGCCGTTCAGATCCCACCCTGTCATTCTGCGGCTCTGGATCCACTCCATTACATGTTATGAACAACATTTACGGGCTTTCCAAGCTGCTGTCTTTAATTTATACTCTCTGGGTGGGACCTAAAGTTAGCATTATTCGCTGTGAATGTCTGAAGAACTGCCTGAAACTTGGCTAACTAATTATATATTCAGCTAGAAGGGATTGGCCTCATGGAGAAGCTTGGTGCTGTTATTTTTGTTCAGAGTAACTCGTTTTAACCCTGGTTTGTATTGCAAGGCCATGGATTTGAAGGGAAGTTAAGTTTTTCTGCATTTAATGTCAAGTTGTTGCTTTGAAATACAAACAAATACTGATATATATAATGTGCAGGATGTCTAGGATGCCAAAGACGAATTAACCTTAGATTTTTCTTTTAACAATACGAACAATAAATATGATCAAATGAAAGAAAGTCTAAAAGCATACAGTAGAAACAGATGTTGACACACCATGGATTGCGACTGGTTATATATGTCAGCTGTTCACTTTAATTCAACTGTATATTACGGTGTGAATGAGGTTCAGCACATAACGTTTTTTGGTAGCTGCTAAGTGACACAAACATGAATCCAAACCCTGACACAGCATGAGAAGAAGTGAAGTTGAGGCCCCAGAAACCCTCATTAGTATCCAATCCACACCACAAAAACTTCTGCTAACTATACAGAAAGTCTGAGGGGCGAAGAAAGGGGGAAATGCCCGTCGTGTCACAGCCCCCCCGGTTTCGACCACTCTAACTCTGAATCTGTGAGCCACAGCCGCCCCACCCTGCTATTCTGTGGTCGGGGCTCAAACTACCAGAGCGCCTCGTGGTTTCCCTGTGGCGCGATAGACGCCAGACGGCCAGATGGAAAAGAGCTCGCAGCCCACAAAACTGGGACCATTGCAGGCTACGCTAACCGCTAACAGGCCCTGGAAAGCTAAATAAATGTCTGGTAATGACAGGGTAGTGGAAAAGTCTTAGTGACTAGAATTACAAATATGCAAGGCAGCGCGGATGTGATGTTCTTTACAGAAATGGACAGTGAAGTGTTTTCTCCTCGAGTTGAGCCCCCGATTCATCAAGAAAACTGTCTACATTCGGTCTGCATCACACATGTTTCCCATCATTTTAATCTTCAGTAGGTATGGAATAAGATTAGATTCAACTTCATTGTCATTGCACAGAGTACTGGGAGAACTAAATGCAGTTTGAAAACAACCAGAAGTGCAAGAAGAAGCTGTAAAGTGCAATGTGATGTATAGCTATAATATAAGTGTATAAATATGACATAAAAAACCTGAAGCCTGAACAGTATTAAAAGGTACAAACACTCTGAAATGCAGAACAAACCCGTATAGAAGTAGCAGATACAAACAGTATAATATAAACACTATAACCAAAGTTAATATGAAACACTATAGACCAGTATTGACTTGACATTTGTCGCTTTAGCATATCAAAACCGAGTCAGTAAAAAGAAAGTGTGGGAGCAGTCGAACTGCGCGGCACACTGACTGGATATATTGACGTCTCGCAACATCGTGCCTGTAATTTCTATAAATCAGAAATAACAAAACGCCGGCTGAGTGGCGGAGTGATTGACAGGCAATCTGTCTGGAAAATATTCATGGTTATATTTGAGTTGGGCTAATTCAGATTACACAGCAGACACTCAGGCAATCACACACACATTCAGGCACAGATGACTGTCTGTTTTAAATAGCCATGACTCTGCTTTAGGTTTCTGTATAGGAGGCAACATACTGATGATGTGTGTGTGTGTCCATGTGTGTGTGTGTGTGTGTGCAGGAGGACATCACCAAGACACCAAAGTGCGTGTGAACATCAAAGTGAAAGATGTAAATGACAACGCCCCAGAGTTCGCCACCAACAACGAAGTCCACATGTGTGAAACTGTTGTGCCGGGAAAGGTACGTACATCTGTATGTGTGTGTGTGTATGTGTGTGTGTGTGCGTGTGTGTGTGTGTGTGTGTGTGTTTTGGGGGCATTTAGGTAAAAATAAACAGTAATCAACACAAATTGCTTCTTTCTGATCTGTATTTCTGTCCACATAAATGGATGTGTTTTAGTGAGATATTGGCAAACCAAAGATTACATTTACCCGGATAGTAGTTGACATTTTATGTGTTTCTGTGTGTGTTCCTGTGTGTGTGTCAGGTTATTGAAACAGTGAGCGCCGTGGACAAAGACTTGATGGCTCACAGACAACACTTCACCTTCAGGCTCGCTCCGGAAGTCGCCCACAACCACAACTTCTCCGTCAAAGACAACAGAGGTAGGAGACCTTTAACGTCTTATTCTATTCATCTCGTTTCTATATGTTTCCCACCCTTTTTCTAGCAGTACCGTTTCTTCATCTGCTGCTATGCCTCCCCCTCCCCCCCCTCCCCCTTTGATTAGATCAAAGCATAGCCAGATGGAGGCTCACACCACCTTGTAGAGAGCAGCAGGTGCTCTGAATCTCTCTCACACACCAGCGAATGCACACATGTTGTGCGGGCTGTATTAATTGCAGTGGGGTCTCTGTCCGTCTGTACATATATCTTAGGGGGCCGACTGATTGAATTAAGTTCTGTGAGGGCTGGGAGAGAGTCTTACGGAAAGAAAATGAGACACAGAGAGTGAGAAAGGCAAGAATAAGAATAATACAGAACGAGAAAAAGAGGCTGTAAGAGACTGAAGAACACAAAAGTGGGAATTGTAATCATGCTGAGTTGAGCATGGTCAAGATATCAGTATGTAGTGTCTCTACTCTGACATGTCTCCATGCTTTAATGTTCAAAAAGCTCTTTATTATTCTCATACTGCCTGTGCTGCAGCACCTCTTTTCACCCTCTGTCTGAAACCAGAGCCCAGTCTGCTCTGATTGGTTAGCTGGCCGGCTCTGTTGTGATTGATCAACCGCTTAGAGATGTCCCGCCCCTATTGCGTACAATGTGTTGGAGCGCTAGCCGATAACAGCTATGTGTAACAAGTAGAAACAAAAGGAGTTTTACTCAAAAGACTCTTTAAAGGTTAGGAAATAAATGCAACAAGTATGGCCCTACAAGTGTAATAATAAAGATCATAAAAGTTTCAAAAGTGAATACTGCAAAATGTGTCTACACTACACTACACTGTAGCTATGTACAAATGACAATAAAAGCCTTGAATCCTGAATCCTACATATGATATTCTAATAATTGCTCATTTCAATATATGTATTTGTATCTTTCTCCACAGACAGCACAGCCAGCATCTATGTTCTCCGTAAAGGATTCAGCCGCGGGACCCAGGATGTGTACTACCTTCCCATCGAGATAAACGACAACGGCCTGCCCTCCATGAGAAGCACCAACACCCTGACCATCAGAGTGTGCTCCTGTGACTCCAGAGGCACCATCCTGTCCTGCAACGTGGAGCCGTATGTCCTCGCAGCGGGGCTGAGCACCGGTGCGCTGATCGCTATCCTGGCCTGCATCGTCATTCTGCTGGGTGAGAACCAGAATCAGAATACCTGTAAAAATGGAAAGAAAAAAAGAATGATGCATAGGCAATTTTAGGTCAAAGTGTGCAACAAAGTGCAGAAACAACAGGCAGAACTAGGCAGAAAAAATAAGCGAAGCATCAGTATGACAGTATATCCTGAGTGTGTGTGTCAGAATCAGAATCATTAGTTCCACAGAGGGGAAATGTACATTATTACAGCAGAAAAGAGCCAAAGACAGCTTAATGTTAGCTAAGAAGCATGCATAAAAAGTATTAAAGGGGACCTATCATGCAAAATGCACTTTTTGATGTCTTTTATACATCAACATGTGTCCCCGGTGTGTCAGGGAACTCACGCAGCGTCAGAAAATAAAACCCTCTCTCTTTTCCTCCGTACCCAAATCTCTAAAAACGGGGCTACAACGGAGCTGATCCAGATTTGCGTCCGATATGACGTAATATCTGAAATGTGGACCCACGGGCCTATCAGAAACGTTGCTATCAGAAACAATGCCCGACTGTTTTGGACGTAATATGGTCGGTGTTTACATTAGCATCGCTAACACTCAGAGCTAACCTGTACTGGAGAGCATGTGTGTGAAGAAGCAGGAAATAAAAAGGAACTCACCTTGTGGTATAACCGGCAAGAGAGAAAGCCTTTGAGCTCCATACTGTTTCAGAAATAATCCTTGATAATCCATGATATGGCGTTTCATCACGGCAGTATTTAGTTTAGACAGTAGCTGCCGGGTCCCGCATGAGCTCAGACCCCTCCTTTTTTGTTGTAAAGCTTTATACCCCAAATCAGCACTTTTGAAACAGGAAGTGAAATAGAGGGATATGAGGCATGGCTAGAATGGGTGATCTGTTTGGTATTTTGAGCAAAACACTTCATAGACATGTTTTTTATATATTTTTATATATCTGAGACCTATGCTATTGCCTAAAAATAGCAGATAAACCTTTACCTTTAAAGATAAATAAATTATAATAAAAAAGTTACACAATTTACAAAATACACATCCTGTAACAGTTCTGAGGATTTAGCAGCCAGGTATATATTGCACTGTTATTAACGGCATATATATATATATATATATATATAGCACATATTACATAGCTGGTTGGTATTTAACAGCAAGGGGTGTTATAGTCTGTGTTATTGCATCGTCATTCTGCTGGGTGAGGAGCTAAGACGCTGCTTAAAAATTGGGAGATTTGCTCGATTGGGAAGCTTTTATTTATAAACGTATTCTTCATTAGTTATTTTCTCACATTCCCCTTTATTATTAGTCAATTAATTGAACATGTTAGAAACAAAACAAACAATAATATTAATAATAATTATCATTATAACAAAGAGAAGCAAAATTTAAAAAAAACGTTCAAGGTATACAAAAAAATATATATATTCTCAAATAGTTTCTGTCATGTTCAAAAGGGGCAAGAAGAAGCGTAAACACGTTTCTGATCCCCCTCTAGCGTACATTGTTCATGAAAATAAAAGATTAAGTCATCGTCATCAGCATCCAATAGTACTCCAATTTAAATGAACAGTTTTTTAACAAGGGGTCACAACGTGATTAAGGTCTCAAATCCTAAAAATTCAACATGAGAATATGAAAAACTAAATGTATAGAAATCAAATCAATAATAACTGGGAAGCTATTTTAGAAAGATAGTGTCTGAGGACGAGAGGTTGTCGAGAGTTTCCCTTTCCAAGCACAGAACAGGAGATCAGAATATATGTGTTCCGTGTTCCCTTGGTACAGTGCACAGGAAGCATGATATAACGCGGTCTAGTCGTTCTGTGATTTGTCCATAAACACAACCAATGTGGTTCCTTAAATTTGGGCTTTGTTATCCCTTTCGACATATTCCTGGATCTTATTATCTCTCCAGTAAGAACTGCTTTGGTGTTTTTGTGTAAATGAGACTTCTCGAAACGTTAACACGCCTACTGGATCGTTGCCAATTCTCTGGCGAACATCACAAAATACTTGTTCTAAAAGCTGGAGGTGAAAAGTCAGTTTTATGTCCAGTCATAATGATTTGGACGTTTGCTTTTTTCGCATACAGGTCCATCGGGTAACGTCTATATGTCAAAGTCTGTCAATTGTATGTCTAAATTACGCCAAACACGCCCAAAATGTACTATACAAATTGGTGAAATGTGGGAATCAGAGACAGGCTGTTAATGTTGCACTGCATCGCTCAAGCTTTTGTTAAAATAACCTTGAGTCGCATGTGTATCAGCCGCTTCTCTCCTTGCGTAATCATATTTTCTAGGACGTAACAGAATGACATTTTTCTTTGTTGGGTTATTTTGTGAAAGTGGGCCTAAATTACTCTAAAGAAATCTTTAAATGTTGTCTGCAGCCTTGGTTTTATTCATCAGCTCTTTGGTTTTCCCACATTGCAGCTGTTATCCGGTTTATTATTTTCTGTAATGTATTGCCCATTGTATTCTCACAGGTGGCGATTACGCTTCTTTCTGCCCTAAGTACTACCAAACGGAGAGTTTCTTCAACATCTGGCATGAGAATAATTGAGGTGTACAGCACAATACAGTGATGGTATTAATGAAACTGTCCAAGGTCTAATTACACCATCTCCCACAGTGCATACTAATTATCCAATGCTGGCTTGCCTCCTTTCTTCACAGAGAGTGTGTGAGGATTGTTATGTAATCCTTAAATGCAGCACAATTTCTGATTCTTGTGTTCTTGTGTTTCTCTTTGGCAGCAATCGTTGTGTTGTTTGTTGCGTTGAGGCGTCAGAAGAAGGAGCCATTGATAGTGTTTGAGGAGGAGGACATCAGGGAGAATATCATCACGTACGATGATGAAGGAGGCGGTGAGGAAGACACGGAGGCTTTCGACATCGCTACACTGCAGGTATCTCAAAAAGTACCTATACTTTGTTCATATTCAGCTTTAGCATTTGTTGATATTTGAATACTTTGTACCTCATTAGCCAGCACCATTTTTCTTCAGCTCTTTCTCATTAACTAACTTGATGAAAAGGTGGAAATGAGATAAGATAAGATAAGAGTTACTTTATTGATCCTAATTTGGGAAATGTTTGCGTTGCAGCAGCATAAAAACAACAAAACAAGGCATTACATAGTAGAAATGAAAGAATAGAAATAAACAATACTAGAATTTAAACATCTCAAAATAGAATTAAAGCAGCATTAAAAAGAAGAAAATATACAGTAGGCATTGAAGATACATTTGGCTCACCATTTGACTCTCAAAGTATAAAAAAGCAAACACTTGGAAATAAATAAAAGGACAAAACACATTTTTATTTTTCTCCACCGCATTAGGTCTTTCAGGGCGAGTACACAAGTGTTTATGATATATTAAAATCTGCTCAAAGATTGAAGGTCAACCCTTTGAGAAACTCTATAAATCAGCATTATACCATGATATATTAACATTGTCTCTGACCTAAACCATGTCCTGAACAGCAAAGATTCAGGGTCTCAGGATTCAATATGGTTACACTGAAGAACTCCTTCATGCATCAGTTAATCCTAAAGTTATATACGGAGTTTAACCCAAGCTCTGTCTTGAACTTCCTTTTCCTTAGTGATTTAAATGTTATCTTAAAAGGTCTGTGTCCTTGTTTCTTGTTGATGTTGCAAACACAATTGCTGTGATGAACGAAAAAATTTCAGACTGGTGCTTTCTTTGTACTCACCCAGAACCAGAGGAGTAGTGGAGTACAAATACTTCGTTACTGTACTTAAGTACATTTTTCTGGTATCAGTACTTTACTCCACTACTTATTATTCTGATGACTTTTTACTTTGACTTCTTACATTTTGAACACAAATACCTGTACTTTGTACTTCTTACATGTTGAACACAAATACCTGTACTTTCTACTTCTTACATTTTGAACACTAATACCTGTACTTTCTACTTCTCACATTTTGAACACAAATACCTGTACTTTCTACTTCTTACATGTTGAACCCAAATACCTGTACTTTCTACTTCTTACATTTTGAACACAAATACCTGTACTTTCTACTTCTTACATTATGAACACAAATACCTGTACTTTCTACTTCTTACATGTTGAACACAAATACCTGTACTTTCTACTTCTCACATTTCCCAAACAGGCTGGTTCCTTTAGTTTGAATGTGTGTTTGGTGGCGTGATCATTATTATTTAGAGTCATTGCGTGCCTATTGATTTGAACACGATCCGTGTATCCATCATTTCCTGGTCTTCTCTAAAGAAGAGGGACCAATGAAAACATTGTCATGTTGCCGTTGTTCAGCATGGAAACATTCATTAGCTAACAATGACATTATTGTTCTATTAATATAAAGGGAGGTCAGGTACTCTTTAAAACAGCTGCTAGTTATGGGTACTTTTTACTTAAGTACATTTCAAAGCCCTCTTTACTTGAGTAAAGAAGTTTAGTCAGTACTTCTACTTTTACCAGAGTATTTTTAAACACAAGTATGTGTACTTCTACTTGAGTAAAGCATGTTTGTACTTGTACCATCGCTACTAATGATGTTTGCAGTAAACCTTTTACTTTAAAGATCTGTTTCCTTGTTGATGTTGCAAAACTTGCTTTGACAAAGTATCGTGAGGGTTTATCTGACTGCTTCTCTCTTTGTATTCGCCCAGAACCCAGACGGTGCCAACGGTTTCCTGCCAAGAAAGGACATCAAACCGGAGCTCCAGTTCCCCCTGAGGCCCGGCGGCGGCCATACTGGACACAGCGTGGACGTTGACGACTTCATCAAAACGAGGATTGCGGAGGCCGACAGCGACGCGACGGCACCGCCCTACGACTCCATTCAGATCTACGGATACGAGGGCAGAGGATCTTTGGCGGGGTCGTTGAGTTCCCTCGAGTCCGTCACGACCGAATCTGACTTGGATTATGACTACTTGCAGAGTTGGGGGCCGAGATTTAAGAAGCTGGCGGATTTGTACGGGACCAAAGACTGCTTCATGGACGATGAGGATGAAGAAGACTCTTAACAGTGGTCTTACTGAGTGGACGCCCCCTTCTGATTTATTGATTCCATGAGGATTTGTTAACTGAGGGTTAACACTCCCCAGTACCCACTTGTTACCAACCTGATCAGTACATGCCAATGTGTCAACGGACGTTCCTTTCCATGGTCCTCCAAGACGATTTGTTAATGAACACGTGAAGAACGCTTGGACTACGCTACCACTTTTTCCCCAAATGTCTCCAGTATGTCTCTTTCCCCTTTCTCTTTCTACAGACTCGAGCATTGCAGGGCTGGGAGATTTGTTATGTCACCAGTTTGTCCGTTGGAAAGTAAATGTTGGGGAAAAAATGTTGCTGTGTGATCAAAATGAGCTGCTTTTAGCTAACTGTTTAGTTTCTTAGAGGTTCTACACTTTTCTGGACTGGATTGACGTAGGTCCTCGATGGATCCCCAGAGAGATTTTACCTTGACAAGTTTCTGAATGGGGTGTATATCGAGGAAGAAAAGCTAATTAAAATAAAAAGTTAGCATGGGATCCAGCAGCTGCCTGATGTTATGGAAGAGAAGTGTTTATGTGTCGGTGGGGGTGAAACAAAATGCTTTTCCAATGTGTTGTTGTGTGTGCAGATTCAGCAGGTACTGTGGTTTAGATAGCGTGACAGACTCTGGGTTGTTGATACTCTGAAGGCGCTCGCAGCATCTTCACAGTATGGTGGCCTTATAATAAATAAACAACAACTCCAGGGGTAAACAGAACAAGAGTAACAATAGAGACCGCGAGCTTCAGTAGCGGCACGCAGACAAATGAACTCACGAGGACTGTCTGAGTGTCTGTGAAAATGCTACCAACTCTTTTTTTTATACTCCCAAAAAGACTCAACATGGATTTGATTTGTGGATGACTCCATGTTTTTCATTCTTCACTGCAGAGAAGATGTGAAAAGAAAAAGCTGCCCTTCTCCACGCCCCCCCCCCCCCCCCCCCCCCCTTGTGTCCCCCCTTTCCCTCCCATTAACAATCATTTCCAAAACACAGAGTCCACCAATGAACGATCACTTCCTCATTCAGAGTCCACCAATGATGATCAATCAGTAAAAACCTGTGAGCTCTAAAAAATCGCCTTAATCTTAACGGACACTCTTGCAGCGCAGTGCATTCTCTCCGTTCTCCTTTTTGTTTTTGAAAAGTATATCCAGAAAGCAAACTATTCTCCATGTTAGGTATGTACAGAGCGGTGTGCAGACATGTGATATATCACTTCTCCTGCACTATTGAAACAGGATGTGGGGGTTTCTGTCGGCACGGTACATGTAGTGTCCAAACTACGGCCCGGGGGCCAAATGTGGTCCGCGGGACATTTCGACTCGGTCCTCAGCAAATTCAAAAAGTATAATGGAGTATGGCCCAAAACTGAAACTTGAGCTTTTCTTGTATTGTACTTATTAAATATATCTGTAAACATATATTACACAGTAGTGTTCATAAGCCCAATGTTCAAATTAATTCAGTAAATTAAAGTGGAAAACACGTTCTAACAAATCTAAGTTGATACGAAAAAAGCCCAATAACTTATACATAACAAACTTGAAATAAACCCTCGCTATTTCCTCTTATTATAAGAAATCTGAGTAAGGAATAACCTGCTAACACAATAAATGAAACCCTCTGGAGAGCTGTGATGTAGGCTGTTTATTTTTCTTAAAGTAGATTCAAGTATCAAGAATAATGTACCTACATTGGATTGACTTTTCCAACTTATAACTGAACTTATGAGGCGATATTCCTCTAGTGAGTGGCCCAGCCCTTCGTACATGTTTCTGTATGTGGCCCTCGTTGAAGAAAGTTTGGACACCCCTGATGTAGACGGAGTAAATGTACCGTTGTGTTTTTTCCTCCAACACCAGCTATGTTGGCGGCAACAGCTGTTGTATCAACACGTGTTGCTAATCAAACATAAAGCGTGCAGCCTGGAAAAAACCCAAGGTGTGTTTCCTGAGAGGCTGAAACCAGAACATCCTTTTTAATCGTGCAGGTTCAATCTCTTTTTTAATGTTATTATATTATGATTATTATTATTATTGTTGTTTTTTATTATTGTTATTATTATCATCATTTTTATGACAATAACTGTTCTTTCTTTGGCTGCAGCTACACGGGAACAAGTTCATGTTTAACTTTTTGCAAATTTGATGTTTTTTATGGTTGTTTAAAATTTTTCGTTTTTCTACAGCGATAACAAACATACTGCCGAAAGTTAAAAATGAACTTCACCTGTGTGCGAACAACCTCTTTCATTTCTTTTGTTTCTTCATTTTGTTTCATTATTTGGCGTTTCTTCGCTCTTCCTCCCCGCTCAAGAGGAGACTAGCAATCTGTGTTTGTTGCAGTGAGAGAACGCCTCCTTCTTATTCTCTGTCAAGTTTTATGGTACCGATTTGTACAATTTTAAAAGTTCTTATTTTAGTATACATGCAGAATATTCCAGTATTACAACAAAAAACATGTTAAGAAAGATAAGATTTAAAAAAATATGTTACAGCATCACACTTATATTTTCAGAACATTGTAATGTTGCTTTACTATGTGCTTCAATCTCCGAAGCGAAAAAAAAACTTTGAAATAAATGCTCTTTTTATAAAATTATATTCAGTTGTGTGTGTAGTAGACTTTATTTTCTTGCTTACAAATATCTTACAAAGAGATATACTGAAAGATACTCATTAGCTGAAGCATTGTGGGTCTTTTCTGGGAGAAATGTAAGGAAGACAGAAGACATAGTCAATGTGTGCAACGAAACATACATATGGGAACGCAGCCTCTCACCTGTTGTCCCAGATTCAATTAAACACATATCTATGAGATTTACGTTGAAAAGAGCAAACACTTTGGGTACTTGGACATTTCCTTTTTATGAAACATTGACATTTATTCACTGCCTGCCACTTAGATAACTTTAGAATATCAACTCATTACGATATGAATGCTTTATTCTGAACTTAAATCAACACACAGTGAAGCTGAGATCGATGGAAATGACATTAGTTTTGTAAGTATTAAGAAAACTAACTCTTAAATCCACATACAGTAACTAGTGGTACCTGTGCTTAAATTACAACCCTTTAACTCTGGTGACACACACACACACACACACACACACACACACACACACACACACACACACACACACACACACACACACACACCACACACACACACACACCACACACACACACACACACCACACACACACACACACAACACACACACACACACACACACACACACACACACACACACACACACACACACACACACACACACACACACACACACACACACACACACACACACACACACACACACACACACACACACACACACACACACACACTCCTAGGGGAGCAGCACTGAGAAGGTCAGGCTGCACTTAGAACAAAGAAGTGAAATAGAAAGAGAGACCGGAACAACTCAGTGTGAGCAGGGAGAGAAGTGATGCAGACAAATTATACTTTAAACCATGTTGCAGTGATATAACTCATAATGTATTACTTTAAAGGGGGGAGGACTTTTCTGACGCTGATTGTATTACATAACTTTCAGATCCTCTTGGAAATCAGCAATGAATTGGGGTTGCAACTAACAACTATAATCATTATCAAGTCATCTGATTATTTCCTCTATTCATAGTTTCTTAAAATGTCCAACAATAGCAAAAACATGCTCAGCATAATTTGCCAAAGATTGGATAAAGTTTGCATATTTGTGAAAGTCCAAAACCCAAAGAAAATCAATCAAAGGCTAAATATTCAGGGGGGAAATGACTTAAATGATTAGTTGTCAGCCTCAATGACTGCTTGGTATTTTAGGAATGTGAGTGTGGGAGAGGAATATGGTTTTATTCAGCCTACAATGGGGGTATTTGAATAATCTTTTGTGCAAGTAAGACTCAAAATCTGCAGTGAAATGACCCTCAAGAGCTGAGACCAGACAGAGAGAAAGAGGGGAGGAAGCAGAATGTATTTAAAGCTGCAAAGACTGTAAAGTCAAATACATTTCCACTCAAAAGAAGGTAACTTGTTAACATAGAAGGAGGTCATTTATAGGATGTAATAGTATCTGTAGTGTCTGAATTAGTGTGAGTTAGCTTTTCAGTTTACCCAAAGATGACTGTCATACACTGTGAAATAGCAGCATACTATAGGAGGTGATCAGAAGGAAGTAATACGTTCAATATTCTTTCAATTGATAGAGTGCAATTTAAAGACATAAGGGGGTATGCTTTCCCACAGCTGACCAAAGGACTGGAACTAGAGGAAGACGTATACATAATACTGCACAATAATTAGCATAGTACGTGAGATGGAAGGAAGAGGAGACCTAAAAAAAGAGGAAGAAAGTTCAAGAGCGAAGGTGGAAAAATAAGTAAACATTTGTGCCTTCTGCTACCCGGGGTCCCAGTGGGGAAGAGGGAGGAGAGAGGGAGGAGAGAGGGAGGACAGGTGAACTTTTGCACCTGACTGAACCTTTCCGTCTGTGTCCCAGCGGGAGAAAGAAAAGGAGACAGAAGGAAATCGAACGGACCATTCAAAAAAAAAAGGAGGAAACTAGTGTGTGTGTCAGCTAGAGGTGAGACAGAGGAAGGACATAGAGAGAGGAGAGGATGTAAAGGAAGGAGTTTCAGAAGATAAGGATAAGAAAGCAGAGTGGAGGTGAACTTTTCAACCTGTTTATGCAACGTTAAAGGGGACCTATCATGCAAAATGCACTTTTTGATGTCTTCTATACATAAATATGTGTCCCCGGTGTGTCAGGGAACTCACGCAGCGTCAGAAAATAAAACCCTCTCTCTTTTCCTCCGTACCCAAATCTCTAAAAACGGGGCTACAACGGAGCTGATCCAGATTTGCGGCCGATATGACGTAATATCTGAAATGTGGACCCACGGCACTATCAGAAACGTTGCTATCAGAAACAATGCCCGACTGTTTTGGACGTAATATGGTCGGTGTTTACATTAGCATCGCTAACACTCAGAGCTAACCTGTACTGGAGAGCATGTGTGTGAAGAAGCAGGAAATAAAAAGGAACTCACCTTGTGGTATAACCGGCAAGAGAGAAAGCCTTTGAGCTCCATACTGTTTCAGAAAGAATCCTTGATAATCCATGATATGGCGTTTCATCACGGCAGTATTTAGTTTAGACAGTAGCTGCAGGGTCCCGCATGAGCTCAGACCCCTCCTGTTTTATTTTGTAATCTTCTTTTTCTTTTTTAAAGCTTTATACCCCAAATCAGCACTTTTGAAACAGGAAGTGAAATAGAGGGATATGAGGCATGGCTAGAATGGGTGATCTGTTTGGTATTTTGAGCAAAACACTTCATAGACATGTTTTTTATATATTTTTATATATCTGAGACCTATGCTATTGCCTAAAAATAGCATGATAGGTGACCTTTAATAGATTCATTAGTCTGATGAACTTCCTGTCTGTCTTCTTCTGCCGTTACCGTTAGTGTTTACTTCCTGTTTCCTGTTTGGGTACGGAGGAAAAGAGAGAGGGTTTTATTTTCTGACGCTGCGTGAGTTCCCCGACACACCGGGGACACATATTTATGTATAAAAGACATCAAAAAGTGCATTTTGCATGATAGGTCCCCTTTAATGTTCATGTGATTTCAAACAATGCCTAGTTTGAGTGGCCAAGACTGAAGCTTTAGATAAAGGTTTACAGTACATGTCGGCAGAATGAATTGCACTTGCTTGATTGTAAATGTGTCAAGTGTAATACAAAAGTAATACAACGACTATATAACAAATCACTTTCCTTGGGAGGAATAATAGCCATTTTGAGTTGTAGCTGAACACTGCCTGTGTTTTTTTTATCCCTCGTTTCCATGCAGCAGCCCGCGTGCACTTGAGCATTATGGGAAGAAAGAGGAGAAAGCATGATTCAGCAG